CCCCAGTCTTCCACTGCATGAAAAATTCAAGATGGCGGCTAAACTTTTTACGATGTGAGCGCTCGCTCGAAAAAATCTCGCCTGCTCTGCAGGCTAGAGGCTTACCTATGACAAACATTCACTTTCCGCACGTTAAAAATTTGATTAATTGGACGCAAAACACATGATTTAAGATAATTCCTTTTAGCCTGATAAGCCTGGGTCAAATGTCGAATGAGTCGAGCCTATTGCAATCGAGCAAAGCTATCACTGTTTTTGCTCACTTGCCATAGGCTTGTCTGTGACTCAAATGAGGTTCGCCGTTTGACCATGATCGTACAATTGCTATTTTCCAAAAGGAAGTCGCTTATTTCACATATTAATTTACCTGTTCTTGGGAGCATGGCATATTACTCTTCACATTCATCTATTTCGGGCTCTGGACAAAAGGAATTAAATCTCGTCAAGGTATGGAATAAAACAGATTAATTTACAAAATTATTTCGGAATACCACACTTATTATACTTTGTGAGATTTTAGTGGGACATAAAAGCGACTTTAGCATCACTAAAAGGCAAAACGTACGGAAATTTAAACAGAAAACGTGACAGACAGATAAAAAATGAACTTAATAGAGTTTCAGATAACCGAGCCTAGATCTTTACCTATTGTTAAGGACCTATATCAAACCTTTTTTGATATTTTGAATTTGAACGTTTTAACGAGCAATTGATTACCGTGATGTCGTTAAGTAATGAAATAGATGCTGTTTTCAATCTGCTACAATATGTGTTTAAACTGAATTCCGTGATTCATAAAGTAATTCCTTTTTTGGCTCTTTTGTGGAAAAAAAATCACACGGAATCGATAACGGATCATTTGGTAATGAGAAATCTTCGCCTTAGCAAACTCAGATTACTAACTTACGAAATGCACAGGAGGTCTAATACGGCTATTTACCCTTACGCTATTGATCTTGTTGTAAAAAGAGCTATGTAAGCCAATAATTTATCATTAATTACCCTCGCAAGTTGACCCAAGCCATCCAGTAGCGCAGTCACAGCGGTAACTTCCAATGAGATCCACACATGTCCCACCATTTCTGCATGGAGCAGGTGCACACTCGTTGATATCTGAAAATTGGAAAATTGCACTCAGCTACGTTAGCCACCTATGCACAGAAGGTTTAAAAAAATTTACGTCTGAAAGCGGTTTAGGTTTGAAAGGTTTAGTGAGCGATATCGATCGATGATATCAATATGTTTATTGGTCCACCCCGAAATAGCTTTTTAGAATCACTACAATCCAAGGGAGGCAAGAATTTTGGAGCAATTAAATTCTGAATGACTTATAATTATAACCATTATGGTATTTTCACAAAAGTGAAATTCTTTTAAAAAATTTGCACATAATTTAGTTAGAAAAACGACTTCAGATTGTTACGAAACATTCTCCCTTCCTCTGCCGATAAGTAAAACGACTAGCTGGCGATGAAGCCAAGATTGACAAAAGTGGATCAGCCACCCAAGCGCCCTTGAAAAACGGACGTTTTGAGCGTGGCCCTTCGTCGGAGTATAATAGTGTAACGTTCGACACTCCAGCTTTTCAAACTGAGAACAAAGGTTAACTTACTCTAAAAACTATTGACGGTGGGGGAATGTCAAAATTCACGATCCTGCGACGATTTTATGAAATTTTAGTACGTACCTGTTTCACAGTTGCTTCCAGAATATCCCGTTTTACAATCACAGCGGTAACTTCCACCAAGATCCACACATGTGCCGCCATTTTGGCAAGGATCCGGTGAGCACTCGTTGGTAGACTTGATATCTGTGAAAATCGCTTAAATGGATTAGCAAACGACTACAATGTAGTTTACAGTGCATAGACGTTTGAATGAAAGTGCATGTTGCTTGTCAAAAACTTCCTTTCGATTCTCAACAACGGTTATTAATTCATGCGTTTCAATTTTACAACTGACTTATCACACCTGTCTCGCAGTTGCTTCCAGAATATCCTGTTTTACAATCACAGCGGTAACTTCCAACAAGATCCACACATGTGCCGCCATTTTGACAAGGATCAGGTGAGCACTCGTTGGTATCTGAAATAGTTAATTTCAACAAGGGTAGTCAAAACCTTCAGCCCTAAAAGAGACAGTAAGCACCCTTAGCTCCGCACAAGTATATCGATTGTCCGGCAATTGTAGATTATGTAACGTCCGTAGGAGAAATGTTCCCGATATATCTATGGATAATGCATTCGTGCTCAGATCAAATGAAAATAATCAAATCGAAGGAAAGATCTCTCTTAGGTTGTTATCACCTGTTTCACAGTTGTTTCCAGAATATCCCGTTTTACAATCACAGCGGTAACTTCCAACAAGATCCACACATGTGCCCCCATTCTGACAAGGATCAGGTGAGCACTCGTTGATATCTGGAAAGTGGAAGTAACGGTCAGAAAACTTTAGCTACAAAACATAAACACTTCAAACCTTTAAGAGATGAAGACCCATTTAGCTTTGTGCACGGATTGCCCATAGTTGAGATCGTATGACGTCCTTGGAGGTTCCTTTACCTCTATAAGCAGTCCATCCATGCACAAGTGAAAATGACTACATTTGAAAGAAACAACCTTAAAGAACAGCTCTCGTTTTATGAGATTGTTATCATTTGGCCATTACGCAATATTCTCTTATTTAAAGCAGTTTTGTACTTCTGTCTGATTTTGTATTTTTGTTCATTAAATGAATTTTATGTAACATAAATAACCGTAAATAAATTGAATTTAATTGAATTTAACTATATCACCTGTTTCACAACTGTTTCCAGAGAATCCTGTTACACAATCACAGCGGTAACTTCCAGCAAGATCCACACATGTGCCGCCATTTTGGCAAGGATCGGGTGAGCACTCGTTGATATCTGAAAATTAGCGATAACTCAACACTTTCAGCCCTAAAAGACACAGTAAGCGCCCTTAGCAGCTCACTAGTATATCGATTGTCCATTGGAGATTATGTAACGTCCTCTGGACAATTGTTTCGATGTATCTATGGATAATCCATCCATGTTCAAATAAAAATAACTAAATCGAAAGAAAGAAAGAAAGAAAGAAAGAAAGAA